TGGATTGCTTATGCTCAGCTGCATTGTCCCTTTCCATCAGCAGATGTCAGGGTGGTTGAAGTCCCCCATAAGGACCAGGGCTTGTGAGCGTGAGGCTGTTCCTATCTGCCTATAGAGGGCTTCACCTGCTGTCAGCTGACGACGAGTGCAGCTCTGGTGCTGGCCCGACCCACAGCAGAGCGGCAGATCTAGGCGCACAGGTTTTTTTTCCTGACTTTCCAGAGGCAGGGAAACGCTGGGGACATGGAAGAGACTCTTCTCCATTCTGAACATGGAACTGATTAAAACTTATCTCAGTGAAACAGGTCGTTTTTCCTAACTCACATTCTGAGACTCCTCAACTCTCTACAACAGGCTGCTTTGGCAGTCCTGGCCCTAATAGGTACTGGAATGACTCTTCTACTTCATTTTTATCACTTCATTTTATGTTTACCAGGAGGATGTAATCTTGACTGAAGATGAAATGGGGACACGTAACTCCAGTGTAGTGCTGATCCCTCTCTAGCTGAGCTTCTTCTACAGGACTGTCTGTTGGTCTGACAATTTAGCTGAGTAACAGTGATGAGATAGCAGAGATGAGAAAGACTATTTATCTTCAGTCCTCAGATAAGATTGCGTTAATTTCTGTATGTCAAAAATAATAATTCTTTTACTTTTTTCCTTTTGAACTCCAACTACTCTAAGGCCAACAGGTTTGTCTAAAGCTGGAGGGGAGGGAAAAAATATGTTTGGAAAGAAACTACTCTTCATTTTTTCTTACTGTACTCTCTGATAGAAGACATCGTGTTCCATAAATGTGCTTCTATGCAGGATCATTTGTGGATGGTATTAAAATAACATCAAAAGTAAATTGTCATTAGCTTTTCAGTTACACATACATAGAAGTATGCTGCCAGTAGCTCAGCAATGAGAGAAAAAAAATATGCTCAATAAAATTAAACTCAGAAATAACTACTTAAGTATATGCTTATTTTCTTTTTTTTTAAAGATTCTGCCATTTTCCTTCCAGCTCTATGTATGTCTCCTGTGACTGGCAGCCCTGAAACCAACTGCACTGGGATCAGTCCATTCCCACAGAATCCCACACGCATGAAAAAGTGCTTTATATGAATGCTCTTTTTTTCTTTTATTATTATTTAATGCAAACAACTAGCAAAATGAAACTTCAGAAGAATGTAATGTGTTAAACAACAAAATCCATAAACCCTACAGGTCCCTCCCCTGAGGTCCAGCTTCACACATCAGCAGGCTTCCAGAGCAATTTTTGGTCTCCGCACGGAGTCTATTTGAAAACTGCTTCAAAGGAAAAATGGGTGATGGCAGTGAGAGTGTGCCTCGCAGACTCTGGATGAAGATGAAAAGGGAACTGAGCACTGGAGTTTGGCTTTAGAGGGTGTTTTGTGAGTTTCCTGATAAAGCAGAGGGATCAGCATACTGATTCCCACTGTTCTCAAACCTGCTCCAAGTATGGGTGTAGGAAAGCAGGAGGTATATCCAAGCACAAGAAGCTTGTGTTTTGTTTTGGAGAGATTGCATACCTGCTTAAACCAGCTGTGTTTTCATGTTTTATCACATATGTATAGCACATATTTCACTTTATACACTTCTGATTTCAGGCTAAAATCCAAAAACATCAAGCACAGTCTTTGTTGCAATGGGGAATTACCGTCCACTGTAAACAGGAGGCACTTGTTAAAGAAAATGTCTACTGCAGGAAAAGAAAGGACCCCCTGTGTGCTTGGACCCTTGCCTTGTTTGCCTCCTTACAGCTGGAGGCTTTCCTCCGACGGTGCGTGGCAGGCAGCCCCCCATCACCTCTGTGGCACATGGCGCATGTTCACCACCTTGCATTTACTGCAAAGGAGGAGGGCATTGTTGAAGGAGAAGACAATTTAAATTGCCGGGTTTTGATCTCTAAAAGTAGAGACAATTCACCTAGCTTGAATACTTTTTGTCCCTCTCTGCCATCACCCTCTCTAGCTCAGAATCAAAAGTTGGTAACCTGAGGAACCTTGCTAGGCCTGTAATGTCTTCTTTTTCCATTTTCCCATGGTGAAACAAAAAGTGCAACATTTGGAAACACAGTCTTGCAAAAAATGTATGTTTGCCTGGTTTTTAAAATTTTGAACTCGGTATCACACCAAAATCTTTTGAATTGCAGGCATTAGAAGAGCCAGACAAGAATGCTAGTGTGACTGAAGGCACTACTTTGGACACCCATTCAGAGGTAATGCTGTTAAATCTCTTCCAAATCTCTATCTGAAAACAAAAAGCAAAGGTTAACTGAATGATGTGTCTTTCTTTTTCAGATGTGCTCCCCTGCGCAGCTCAGACAACAAACAGAAGAGCTGTGTGCTGTCATTGATCAAGTCCTACAGGACCCATTGACTATGGTAACCCATCTGAGTGTGGGATTGACTTTTTATCTTCCTTTCCTTTTGTCTCTTGTCATTAATAAGCCTATTCTCTGTTGAAAATCATTTTCCAGCGCCGATGTGAGTCTTCTCCAAGTTTCCTGCAGATGAGCACGGAGTCAGATGTTGGGAAGGTAGGTAAATAAGGCCAAACGCTCTTTAAGGTGGACACAAAGCAAACAAAATCACAGCAGTAAAGCCTATGACAATAGAAAGCTTCAGTTAAGAGATGCAACTTCAGTAGAATTGTCTGGTGATTTGAAAGAAATGGAAAGACAGAACTGTAGCCCTGGCGTCAGTGCAGTCTTCATTGCAGGATGCTTTCCTGAAGTCAGAAGGAGTAATATTTTGAAAGACAAGCTGTTTATTAAGGTTTCAGAGGCTAGGATCTACAAGACAGAAATCCTTCATATCTTACATTCCGTATTGCAGGGTCTCTGGCTGTCTCCCAGATTTCATCCCATTTATGGGTCCTTACTACAGAGGAGGCAATGTTTCTTGCTTCAGCAATTGGAAACATCTTTCAGAACATTTTTTTTCATATTCTTTATGGGTTTTCAAAAAATTAAATGAATACATAGACTTGCTCTTAAATGCCGATTTCCTTTCAATTCCCACCCCTCACAGGAGGGGGATGTCTTCTACATCCATTTACCCTGGATAACTCAAACAGGTAGTGAGAGGCAGGAATAACTTTGTATACTGGTGTTAAACTTCTGGTTTCACTATGTTATATTGATATGCCTTCTGGGTTCAAAAAGATGAATAACCAAGGGAGGAGGGTCCTGTATTCAGTTTGCCCCAGGTAAATTTAAGTTGGTATTAGTCAATATAGGAAAGTGAAAATGGCAGAAATTCAACCGGGAACAGGAGGAAAGGGATTTTTTACAGAGGAATACATCAAAAAGTTAATGCATTCAAATGTCCAGTCCACCATGCAAAAATAGGGCACAGAACCAGCGTTCCTGAGTAGGTATATTCAATATAGACTTCAAATTTCATTTTCATTTTTGAAATTACTTCTGTCAACCAGCACACAGTGGTGAATCAGGCTTCAGGCAGCTGAAAGATGGAAACAGGATAGTAGCTGAAAAAAGCAAGCAGAGACTGTTATTGAGGAAATGTTTTCCAATGCCTGCACTGAATCCGAAGTGGTTAAAGTGCTACTACTAAGTTGCACTTTTGAGCTATACCATCCAAAACCTACTTCCTTGGGCAACTGAGAATTGAGACTTGACCAAATGGAAGGCATCGGTTAGAAGTCATGAAATCAAATAAAGGGGGCAAAAGGTGAGTTTAACAGGATGCAGCATGGGGAAGAAGCTAAAGACCTCAGAATGAAAGACAAAAGTGCTTGAACTGAAAGTAAAAGAGAGTCACAGGAAGGAAAAAAGACTGTATGTTCTAAGGAAATGATTTAGAAATATTAGTCAGATGAAAGCAAGTTCTTGCAAATGAGAATATGGAAAGAAGACATTTCAGGTTATTTTGTGAGCAAATCTAAGTTAAATTCATGGGGCAACCACACCTGTGGCAATCTACTAACAAACATTTTGTTATGAGAGTTCTCAGAGATAATTTAAAGGCCAGCTTTGACAGAAAGTTATCAAAGTTTTTGAGCAGTAAAAGTGAAATAGTATTTTCTACAGTAAACATATCAAGCAAAACTTTAATATACCTTATTCTCATGTATCTCATTAATTTTTCTGGAAAACTGAAGTTTTCTTGAATTTGATCAACTTGACATGACGATGAAAATCTCTTTGAGTTACTCCTCAGAGTAATTCTTTTCTCTTAATGTATCTATTTATTTTGTACAAGGTGCCAACAACGCTGCAGAGAGCAGCTGGGCGTGAAACCAGATATGTAAGTACTTTTAAAATTACTCTATATTTTGCATGCAGAAATATCTAATTTATCTACTCTTGCTATGATACTGCGTGAGTCTGCATGTAGCAGACACAGGCACCTACTCATGACCTGAGGTGTTGACTGTAGTACAGAGAAGCAAGTATGTTAGAGCACCTGCAATTGCGACTTGAGATGTCTTCCCACTGTTGTAAATCCATCATGGCTGGAATCTCTTAAGTGTGGTGTCTACTGATAATTTTACCTGTGTGAATGTTATGTTAAAATTAATTTATTCAGAAACTTCTTTGTTGTTATTTGGTTCGAGCATGGGGCAAGAGCTCAGCTGTTTGGCAAACAGACTGTTATGGATGCTGAAGGATGTATTTGTTTGGACTCAACCTGCACTGTAGGTGATTTGCTTTGGTTGAAGTCCCCATCAGAATTTGGGGTTGACTTTTCATTCCAAGGTACAGAGATGGCTGAAACCCCACAGTTTAGCCTTAGATGAACAGAAGCTACTTTGTCACGTATACACATGTTCCAACATATAAAGAAAATCTCTATATTGAGTCATCTGTTTGATTACTGAAATATTAAACCCATTTAACATTTTAATTCTCACTAGCACACACAGTTACTGCAGGTTCCATATTTTCCTTACAACTCATCTAGTCATGTGGTGAGAAATCTCTGCTTACTATTCATCATTCAGCATTTCTATTGAACCTCAAATCAAAGCAGTGCTGGCAAAGTAATAGAGGCATTCCAGTTTTATGCCAGCACAATGCTTGACTGATCAATTAAATTTTGCTTCTTGAATGTGGCGGTATGCATATTTTATTGCATACTGTGATTTTTACTTGACAGATTGTGCTGGCTTATACTAATTAGAAAGGATATTGGAAGAGAGCTTTTTAATGAAATAAAAGAGTGTGTTTCAGAGGTAGTCTGTGAGAACAGAGTATATATATATACAGAGTATGTCCTGGGCTGCATCAAAAGAAGTGTGACCAGCAGGTCGAGGGAGGTGATCCTGCCCCGTTACTCCACTCTCGTGAGACCCCACCTAGAGTACTGCATCCAGCTCTGGGGGCCCCAGTACAGGAGAGACATGGAGCTGTTGGAGAGAGTCCAGAGGAGGGCCACAAAGCTGATCAGAGGGCTGGAGCACCTCTCCTATGAGGACAGGCTGAGAGAGTTGGAATTGTTCAGCCTGGAGAAAAGAAGGCTCTGGGGAGATCCAATTGCGGCTTACCAGTATCTGAAGGGGCCTACAAGAAAGATGGTGAGGGACTGTTTGTCAGGGAGTGTAGTGACAGGACAAAGGGTAATGGCCTTAAGCGGAAGGAGGGTCGATTTAGATTAGATGTTAGAAAGAAATTGTTTACTGTTAGAGTGGTGAGGAACTGGAACAGGTTGCCCAGAGAAGCTGTGGATGCCCCCTCCCTGGCAGTGTTCAAGGC